TACAGCCATCTTTAGACCCACGAGAAGGACACACAGAGGGCACAGCCACTGAGTGCTATTGTAGAGCAAGCATAAAACTTCTGCTACCCTTCCTATAACAGCGTAAGAAAGTGCAAAAAGAAGTCATAGCAAAATGTAAGTGTCCCTCCTAATTATTTCTTTTGCTTGCTTTTTTATCTCCATAGGAAGGCTTCCCTATGAAAGAGGAGAAAGTTTATCCACCTTGGGTCCTGGCCATCTGTGTGCTGTTAGCTGTGCTCCCTTGTGTGTTCGTGCCTCTGGTAGCACTTTTCCATCTGATCAACGAGAAGTGCAGAAGCAAGGACCCAAGCCTTCTACCACCAGGAGTGTTCTCATGTCAGGGGGCTGGCAGCAACTCTTCTCATCCAAAAGAATAAGTATTGTTGCATTTGTCTGGAAGTAAAAATAAGACAGCCTTTGTTAAACATGTTTAGCTGTACTATGGTATCACCCATCCAACCCGGTTTATGCAGTTTCTATGCTTAAAGCCAGTCAGCAGCAATCTATAAACAGTGCTGTTATGTTTCCTTTATTTTCAACTAATTTCACCGCAGTTAATCTCCTACATCCTGTCCTGAATCCTACATATTGACCTATATCAGCCCCACTGCTTTAACCCTTTTTAAGCACTAAATACTTCATGTCTCTCTCCAGACAGACTTTAAACCCGGAAAGCCTGCTAGATATAGCATGTGCCCTCTGTCTTCCTTAATTTCTCTTTTAAAATAACAGTATGTTCCTAAGGATCAGCAACATAAGAATTGGAACACAAGCACCTACAGTTTCTTTCACCAACCCTCCCCTGAGAGACCTAGAATGGAAGCTCTTGAAGAGTAAGGACTTGTCCACTACACTACATCTTGTAAATCCTTACACACATTTAAGTAGCAACTATTTTGTGATTATTTCATATTCTCAGGTATTGCAAAGAACAAAAATAAAGCATCAGCAGTTAAAGGAATGTACATTCAGTAAATCTGAGTAACTAATGTTGCACAAATCTCTTACTTTAGCAGATTCCAGAATTTCTTGTACTGGAAAATACTGCGAAAACAGATGTCCCAATTTCCCCCGCCCGCCCTTTACTTCTCATACTAAACACAATAACTGCACGCTGTGATAAAAGTGCAGATGTATGGAAGCCTCCTAGCGACATGCAACCTTACATGACATGCAAATAAAGTTAATCTTTACTTAAAAATAGGTTTTCTTGTACTTGCCTGCAGATCCTGGCCACTCTGCACTGATGCAAGATGAGGATTCCTTTTGCAGAGACACTTGGGCCACCAGCCCCCTCTGAAAAAATATAGGGAAAGTAAGTGAAGATAAGGTATGACAAAGTCTTCAGGCTGAGTATTTAAAAGATGATGATGAAAGGAGAGGACAATTAATGAAAATGGAGGCAATTTTAGTATTTAGCCTTGTGACAGCACTAGTAAGGCTTCATAATGGGTAACAGGGACCTGGCCAGATGAAGGAGACCAGCTCCAAGTCTGCAGAGCAAAAGCTGACTCCTTGAAAAGGGCACAAGGGGAACTGAGAGGGAGAAAGCACCTTACTGCTTAAGGATAGAGCAGGAAAAGAGTTTGGGTTATTGGGGGTTTTTTTAGATTTTTTTGTTAAGATTTAATATCCCACTCACAGAGCTGCTGCTGCAACCACCTGTCCTGCAACTAGCCTGGAGAACAAGACTTTCTTGGTGCAGTGATGGTTCTAGAAACAGTAGCATCCAGTTTGTCTCATTAGATCCACCAGAGGATCAAAAGTGGACCATGCCTCTGCCTGCCGGATGGGAATGCTTGGGTTAACTGTCTGTCTGCACAGCAGTTGCCAGGCCAGAGGCTCTTCCACTCTTTGGGATGAGTAGGGTCACCTGAAAACAGTTACATGCCTTGGCTCCAGGTTTTTTTATGTCTGAGAGCCACAGACTTGGGCAATGGTCTGTGTGACGATGGCCAGCGGTGCCCCATGGTCACCTGCCAACAACCCCAGCCCTTCAAGTCAATAGAGGGGCAGGTACCCAGCAGGGAAACAGAGCTTCTGTCAGCAGAAACCTCACAAGACAACAAAATCCAGGCAAACTTCTTGATGTTCCACAGCTGTGCACTGTAAAAGGCTCTTGACAATGACATGGAAGATCTGAATTGCCACTCTGTCTCTTGCAAATAAAATTTGAAACACTATGAGTAAAAGGAGCTTCCATGAAGAATGAATAATAAAAAAACCAAAACAGTATAATAGCAATTTTGATCACATATTCATATAAAAGCTGTAAATATATAAATAAGAATTTTTAATTAACCAAAGTGTGTACTCTATAGTCAGGCCTCTGACTAAAGATAGCTAGATGTTAATTAACATATATGCAGAGTATATGCAGGAGGCTTAAGTACTTGCTCAGAGACCTGTTCTTAAAGAAAATCACATTCAGCTAGTACACAAGCTGAGAAAAGAATAAACTACATATACAAGACTTTCAAGTCTATACATCCATCTCAGTTAGTTGTTGTGGCACTCACAGAACTCTTTGCTTGTGAGCTGCCCCTTCCATTCACCAGAAGGGAGAATTTGTGGGTCACCAGACACACAGTTCACTCTGGGACAGGGCTCAGGGAGCAGACAGTGTTTAGCTCCAGTAACTACAATTCACAGCAGGAAAATGCCCTAGATCAAGTCACTGTTTATCCAAAGAAGGCATGTAGAAAATGTGTTGAGCAACTCTTGCAGGAACATTGCTTTTCTGTTCTCAGTGCACTTCTCATGTGACCTCTACTAAAATTCCTGTGCCAAAACTGGAGCCTTCTTCCAGTAAAACCAGTGCTACGATCTTCCCCTTCCTATTCATATGACATACAACATCTTACAGATACTTTTTTTTTTTTCTCTTGAATAGCATGACTGACTTTGTTACTTGAATAAGCATATGCATGCAAACATGAAACTGAATCTGTATCACAGGCTTGCATACCAAGTACTTCCTACTCCTCCTCCCAATCTTTTATCTGCATATCCCATCAGATCATCTTTGCTATTCTACTCTGCTGTGAACTCATACTGTACTGACAGACAAGACTCTTCCAGAATTGTCCTAGGCTGCAAGGACAGTCTGGATTCTTTGGGGGTAAATCTGCAAAGAATACACACACAGGCATGGTGTTATTCAGCCTTAAGCAGAATCCATGGCCCTAAGACAAGGAGCTTAAGTACCTATTAAAGGAAAAAGGCTCAGAAGCAGCATTGCAACAGTACTATAAATAAGGAAGCATGCTAACTGTTAGAAAATAATAAATAGAGAAAAGTTGCAGAGAGAAGCATATTCCTTCTGGAACACAGGCAGTTTCCTACATTGCAAAATTTGATAGCTACCTCAAATGGAGATTCACAGTCCATAATCCCTTCCTAAAAGGAGGTCCTGCAGAGAAGGATACATTTGATGGCTTCTGTCAAATTCCTCCCTTCCAGCCCTGCAAGGAGACACTAAGAAACAATTTTCAGCCCTATCAGTCTTCCTCCCCAAATAAAGCCTCCAGATGACTTGCACAATGTTTTGCAATGTTTGTACCACAGGTTGCATAGTGTAGTTAGTGAGTGGCTTAGCTCTCAGTTGCTCTATTTACCTTCTCCTAAGTACCAAGATGATCTTAACCTTCCCCCTCCCCAAGCCTCCAATCTTTTGTAGTTTTCCCAGCTTCCCCACGATTGTTGAAAATCCACGTTACAGGTTCAAAATGCTCCTAAGCTAATTCTTTTAGTATTTCCAGATTAAGTTATTCAATCCATCCAAACATTTCCTGTCAGCAGTTGTTTTTTAAAGTACTACCTTGCTACCAATTGAGTAGAAAATATTCTACCACCATAATATATCATACTATTTCTTTCAGAATAGTTCTGTACAGACATAGCTTTATGAAATATTTCTATCTTCCCAAGCATATAAACATCTCATTTTAGAGCATAAAACCTATGCCACTGTTATGGTTTGGATGGCTGCACCCAGAGAGTTGTGGTCAATGGCTCAATGTCCAAATGGAGGCAGGTGATGAGTGGTGTCCCTCAGGGGTCACTATTGGGAACAGTGCTGTTTAACATCTTTGTTGGAGACATGGACAGTGGGATTGAGTGTATCCTCAGTGAGTTTGCTGATGATACCAAGCTGTGTGGTGTGGTTGACACCCTAGAGGGAAGGAATGACAACCAGAGGGACCTTGACAGGCTGGAGAGGTGGGCCAGTGCCAACCTCATGAAGTTCAACAAGGCCAAGTGCAAGGTCCTGCACCTGGGTTGGCATAACCCCAGGCACAAATACAGGCTGGGAGGAGAATGGCTGGAGAGCAGTCCCGAGGAGAAGGACTTGGGGATGGTAGTAGATGAGAAGCTCAACATGAGCTGCCAGTGTGTGCTGGAGCCCAGAGAGCAACTGCATCCTGGGCTGCATCAAAAGAAGTGTGGCCAGCAGGGCCAGGGAGGTGATTCTGCCCCTCTGCTCTGCTCTGGTGAGACCCCACCTGGAGTACTGTGTACAGCTCTGAAGCCCTCAGCACAAGAAAGCTATAAATATATTGGAAAGGGTCCAGAGAAGGGACACCAAGATGATCCAAGGCCTGGAGCACCTCTGCTATGAAGACAGGCTGAGAGAAGAGAAGGCTTTGGGGAGACCTTATAGCAATTGCTCTACAGCTTTTTCTTTTCTTTTTAATAGTGCCATTTCATAGAAAGAAAAAAAAAACACCACTGTATGACTGACTGAACATTTTGACAGTCAAAACTGAGTTATTATGTTAGTGGCCAGACTGCAATACTGCAAATTGTCCTTTAAGAGCTGTGCTACCAATCCCTGTGTGGTGGTGGTCTGTCAGCCCTTTGAAAACATCTATTGTTTGAATGAAATGAAGGCAATGAAAACATCGCCTTCACTATTTCACTCCAGTAACATATTCTCCATCTGCTTTAAGAAGACCTCCCAGCAGTTGCTATTTAGCTTATAAGAGAGTTAGAAGAAATCCTAGTAAAATAGGTCTACATCGGAGCAATGCAAATTCAACATCCAAACCTGGAACAGAAAAAAAACATATTGGCAGTTTTATCAGAGCAGACACAGGGCAAATTAACCTGTGCACAGAACACGAACAGCAGGGCTAGACAGGTCTTCAGGAATATTATGGAGCCAAAGATAAACCTAAATAAAGAACAGGAAATGCAAACAGAAACATAATCTACCATTATCTAATAAAGAAGCTTTGTTTTGTAGATATAAATGCACTACCATCGTTCTTTTTATCACTGTTTTAAAAACACCACCAAGAATTCAAACTATATAAAATATACACTAAACATAACCAGCTACAACACTGAAATTTTGGCATATGTTAGTTGTGTTTTCCAAAGCATAAACTTGTGTATCTTGCTAGGTAATGCCACAAAATGCACCTGCCCTGTGCAGGTGTTGCTGTCCTTTAGGACATAAACCAGCTGGGCAAGATGTTAAAATCTTCTGTAAAATAAAGGTACTGGAGACAAATATGTGTTCCTGCAATTATCCAGGCAGTTTATTACAAAATAGTCTGCAACACAGAGAAGCAAAAAACAGTTCTTCAGAAGCAACTCACTAAAACAAGAAAGTACATCTGTTCATAAAGAACATAGTTTAATGATGCCTTCATCAAGAAGATGGGAATTACAGAACAAAACAAAGGCAATTACTTCAAATAGCCTGTGAATTTACAGGCAAACTCAAACAAGATAATATTAACCAAACCGCCTGCTCTTTCCACGTCCTTGTGTCATATCTGACAAACAAACATGGAGAACTTCTGAGTGACGTAGCTTTCGGTCCACCCTACCAAAATAAACTACAGAGGAAAGTAATCTAAAGACACAGCATTTACTTCCAAACATGGAAAATTAGGAGATAAACTTCAATCAGTTAGTCCAGGATAGCTTTGAAATCTTGACAAAGAGATGGTTCTGTCACTGTCTTCAGTAGTGTCATAGTATCCTTTGGGATCTTCCTGAACAGCTGCATCTTACCTGCCAAAATAACAGAAACAACTCATTACTACTGCAAGTAACTAACAATTCTGAAAATGCTAATAAGATAATGAAAGCAATACTAGCTAAATCCAATTCAAATTTGGAACAGCTAGAAAATGGAGATTAAAAAAGCTATAATAAAATACGCTACCATTCTTGAACCCTTAAATCAGGCAAACAAATAAAAAGGTTAAAAATCTTATGCTAAAATATTAACAAACAAAGAAGACCAAGGAACAATTTTCTCCTACTATGTCTAGAATCCAAAAATGTAGTTATTTGGATTTTAGGATTTTAACTTTTTTTTTTTTTTAAAGTATAAACCCATTTACTCAATAACTATATCCACCAAAGAAGGCCTTCTCTCAAACCATAGTTACTTAGAAAGACCCTGTTTTAAACAATGTTAAGGACAAGGGACATGTCCTCATCTGGTTGCTAACATTTACCTACAGCAGGAAGGTATTCCCAAACTATTTCTTTTTCCCCTCTGTTTTCAGATAGGACATCAAAACAGCCTATGCTTGAAACTGACATATTAGAAAGACAGAAAAAAAAATAAATTCACATGGAAAATCCACCTTTTGCTATAACACTAGCAACTGCAATTCTTCCTGCTGTGTTGCTTTGTAAGAGAAGAGATTTTAACTGAAAGACCACCCTTAAGCTGGAAAATTCTAAAGACTAAACAAGGCTCTTAAATCAGGAATGAAAGTTTTATTATGGACATAACAGTTTTGAAACACAGAAGGCCATTGAGTTTATCATCAACAGCATTATAGACAATAATAAGGACTTTTTCAATATAGGAAGAACATGTAAAACCCTAGCAACAGCTTAAGTCCGTTACCTAAACAGAGTTGGCAAAATTGTCAATGGTGCAGAAAGGCAGAAGTGCTCAGTAAACATTTGTTCTCTATTTGCAAAGGAGACAGATGATGTATTTACATCTTATCATGATAAGGAAAGACTCTTGCTCCTTTTCCCACTGGTAATAATAGCAGGGATGTTAAACAGTAACTATGTTCTAAATACTCAACTCTTGAAGAATGACGACAACTCGTACTGACAAGCCTCAGATGTTGATATTTAACAAGTTTTGGAATAGTGGGAAGAACCTCCTTCCCATAACCTAAGAGCTTGACACTGATTACCCTGAAGAATAATGGAAAGACATGCGCAGGGACACAAGAAAAAAGATTAAGTTTATATCCACTCCTGTCAATAAAATGATCTTACAGGGGTAATAGTTTTTATACAGCCAATACCAACTCCAAGATCACAACAAAAAGTGTAGCTGTTAAGTCAACACCAGTGCTATCACCAGCCCTGGTTATACCTCTTTGCTACAGATCGCTGTGCCATACAGAGACACTGAGCTAACCTTACAGAAACACACCTGAGAACCTGAGAAACTTAAAAAGTTCCACGTCTATTTTCTAGCCTGTTTTCTCTGGTATTTATGGTGGTGTGATTTTTTGGACAGTACAGACTACTTTTATGGCAGATGCACACTCATCGAAGACGAGATTCTGCTGATCACTAAAGCCACCTGGGGCTGCCCCTCCACCCTGCATGTCACCATCAGATTCAATAGCAAAGCATGCACAGAGAAGGATCAGGGAGCCCTCAGAGAAGCTATTGTCCTACTGGGTGTGCCTACAACATTCTCTGCTCAGTTGTTCAGTTTCTGTCCTCTCCAAGTGAAGCAAGGACCCATCTCTTCCCTTCCCAGAGGCAGGCTTGCTCTCCCCAGTGCTTCCAGAAGGGCTGAACAGAACTGGCAGCAGCAGTGGTCAGACATGGTGCCTCTGGTTTTGGCATCAGTGAGTAACTCAGAGAAGGAGCTTCTCTGGGAGAGGCTGCTGGAGTTCTGCTCCAAACAGAAAGCTCATAGCTGTCAGGAACACGCCTGGTGCAGTCCCAACCATCAGTTTGTTCCATGTAAATGTCTAAGACTCTCCTCTGATACATTCACAATGCATCACCAAAAATCAGATGGTTTGCACTCAGGCATTGCTGCAAGCCTTTCACCTGGGAAGGAAATGCTTACTTCCAAAAGCATTGGAACTGTATTTTTGAGGTTCTGGGTCCCAGCACAGGTATCAAGGGAAGCTTGTGATACATTTCAAATCAAACAGGGGTTATTCTGGAATCCGAGTGAAGAATTTCTCAGTATTGTATATGAAACTGCCCAAGTAATGACTCATTCAGAGTGCAAATTACAGAATCAATGTTGAGTCTGGCCTTCACTGCAGCTAAATTCAACAACAGTGCTGACCACTTCAGAAAAATCTACTGCTGTTGACTTTTAATATCTGAGATCTGAAAATTCTATTATTTCTGTGGCTGGCCTGGGGATAGACCACACAACCAGTCAAAGAGAGAGCTCCCCAGAAGCCAGGTACACAGGCAGCTCCTTTCCCTGAGTATTAGAGCCAGAGATTTGCCATTACCGCTCAACTCCATTACAATATAGTACATGAGGAGCAGTAAGTGCTTCTGTTCCAAAGTGAACCTGGTGACACTTTTTTTCTAAGAGTTTACATTGCAGGAGGAATTTATTTAGTTGTCAGTTACTCTACGTTTTTTAAAACAGAAAAGCAAGCATTAATATTTCATTTAGTTAAACCTGTTGAGAATGCTTATATGATTAACCCAATCTTACTACACTTTTTGAACTGTACGAACTTACTGAGTTCCAAGTATCAACAACTGTCCCATAAGAATACGTGCTGAAAAACATGTCATTTTAATTTGCCTCCTTATTCTTTGTAAACTTCATTAAAATTAGAAAGCTCATGAATGTACATTTTAGAACAACATTTTGTTATAAGTTAAAAATCCACAAGATTCTGAGTTTTATTTCAATTCATCATATTTCAAACTGTAAAAATAATTGAATACTTACAGATTTTTAGGGGCGTTAGCAGGCATTTGTAAACAACTTTGTGATTTGCCAGTTTGACAATAAAGGCATGGTAGCAGAGCCATTCTGCTGCCTCAGAAGGGAACAGGCCAGATGCACCTTTGTTACCTAAAGCAACCCCTGGAGACAAAACAGGAAAATAATATCACTGAACATTACAAAGTGTAAGATCTTTCTTCTCTTCCTATAAAATTACTCAAGATTTTTTACTATAAACCTATGTAGTCAATGAAGTCTCCCACAACAGCAGAGAACTAAAAACCAAAAATGTGAAATCTTTCAGTATCTACAGAAACATGATTTTAAGAAAAAAAATACACTGCAACTTCTACGTCCTGTGATTTATTCTCTTGATCTTTATCTCAGTTACATGATCTGACTGCACATTCAAAATGCTTTATTTCTGAAAAAAGAACCCCACGAAAACCCAAACCCAAGCACTCCACCTCATTACCCTGAAGGTACTGTACCTGCATTTTTTGCCCTCAGGATAGCATAGCAGCACGTCGCAGTCTCAGAGATGATCCTTAGGAAGAAACAAGGATTATTTCTGACTTGCTGGTTGAATGGAAGTTGGAGAACACAGGCGTGGAACCTGTTCATAAAAACAGTCTATTTAATGACAAGTCATTTGCAATTCCACGTGAAACTAGGACTACTTGCCCTAGGCACTATACAACATTTAAAAGCACCCAGGCACTTGTTAGCATATGACACCTCCCCTATATATGTGCTTTTCTGGAGTGTCAGACACATGTGATATATGTTTTGTTAATTTTGTGCTGAAAGAAGGTCCTGAAGCCATCTGCCTTGCCACTCCTCTGAGGACAGTGACCGTTCTATGTGCAGGGAAAGTTAAACTACACATCCTAACCAATGCCATATCGTGGACCATGCAGCCAGAGAACACTTACATGACAGTATGGAAAGGAAGTAAAAACATTAAAAAAAACCCAAAACAAATTATCTTGTTCAGGAAAACAGACCTCCTAATGGCATACTGTTCCACATATCAGGATCCCCACTCTTTTGTCTATTTGGAAGCAAATTCTATGGAAATGACTTGTATTGGAAAATGACTTGACCTCTGGTCATATTTTAAAACTTCTGGTTTGGCTTTTTTTTTTTTTCTTCAGACTCTGGCATTATAATTCTGCTTATGCTGCATATAGTAAAAAATTACAATGCTGATTTTTAATTACTCAACAATGTATATACTTCTGTATTAAATTATTCCAGCATAAGCATGATGACTTCAAGAAACAGTGACATCTAAAAATATTTAAAGGATAAACATTATTACCACACTGCATGATAAAGCTCTGACTGAACTAACCTCAAACAGTATAAGCATTTCAAAGGTACTCTTAACATAAAGACCCTTTGTTAGAGGGTTACCACAAAAGCAAACTGAAGTAACTAAGTAGTCATGTCCAACATCTGAGAAAAAACATGCCTTACTCAAACCACAAAGTTTAAGAGTCTGACACAACAGTGCTGTACTAGACAAGTCCAATTACACTTCTTGGACAGAGAGACAATAAGGGGTAAATGTGGACCAAGCTGAATTCAAGAACAAAACTAAAATGTCATTTCAAAAGCTCACAAAAACCAACCAGGTATTACCAGCTAAGGAGCAATTAAGTCATTATCAGCAGCTAAGAAACTGCAATTAATGCAGTAAAATGAAATCTCACTTAAAGCAAAGTTATACAGGTCAAAGTTCTATATGATTTTAATAGATACAAAGTTCTAAATATAAACTAGTTAATGTGTTATAATGTTCCTTATCATCCTCCTGCAGCAAAATAAACTGCTTTTCTTGCGGTCAGCTGTCAATACCCAGAGAAAATGAAAATCCATTCAGTAAAATGTAACAAACACATACATCAATATAATCCTGTTTCCTGAATCTCACAATATTATGTCAGAACAGTGCTGAAACAAGAATGAGGTGACTTTACTACTGACATTTGCCACTGCACATGTTTATGGCACACTTTTTCCTAATCCGTAGCTCCTCCATGCGTCCAGAAAGAGAAATGAAATATTCAGTTACTGCAGAAGACAGCGACCTACCTGTAAGCCTGCAGTAAAAATATCTTGTAGATGTTAATTAAAACTGTTCTAAGGCTGTTGATCTAGAACAGAAATAGAAGCATAGGAATATTTTAGTGTCATGGTATGATTAGTTCCAAGTTTAACACCATGAGGTGATTTAGAGATCTACAGTGAAAAAAAAAAAAAAAAAGAAAAAAAGACTATTTAATGTGAAAAGTTTCACCTAAGTTACAATATTGTGAAGGCTCAGTTCCAGCAGGAGCCAAGACCCCTCATTTTAGCTGATGTCAACATTTCCAAGTTATGTGTATTACCCGTCAAAATCAACTCATATGTTAGAAGGTGTTTTAATGCTCTTTATCACTAACCACAGCATTTCCACACATCCATTTCCATATTCCCACCTGTAAATCAAGAAATAAACAATGGCACTTCAGTTTGAGGACGGTAATCAATTTGTATCTCATGTTCTTCCCAGCTGTTCTACTTGAATTGAAGGAAAGACTTGATCTGATAGAAGTACAGGTGTAACTAGAAACAAAAAAATATGAAATCAGCTAACAGACTAAACTAAATTCTATAACGTAAGCCTCATTTAACTTCACAAGTTACAGAGACTGCTTGCTAATCAATGAGCCAGTAGCTACAAGATGACTATAACTAAAGTCAATTTAGAAACAGACTGGACATTGCAGCGCTAAGGTTATTAGCTACAAAATTATTTCAATATGTCAGGGCTGAATAATTCACCCAGCTAAAAGAAACACACAAAACAACAAACAATGAACAATCTTCAACACAAAGCGGATGTACTTCTGAAACACACCATCTAGCCATATCGCTAATCGCTCCAGTGATAACTCTGTTATATTCGGTGATCCATGCAACACAGGAACTCAGGCTGAAAGCCACCTCAGTTCACGCTGGCACTCCAGGATGGTAGTAGATGAGAAGCTCAACATGAGCCGCCAGTGTGTGCTGGAGCCCAGAGAGCAACTGCATCCTGGGCTGCATCAAAAGAAGTGTGGCCAGCAGGGCCAGGGAGGTGATTCTGCCCCTCTGCTCTGCTCTGGTGAGACCCCACCTGGAGTACTGTGTACAGCTCTGAAGCCCTCAGCACAAGAAAGCTATAAATATATTGGAAAGGGTCCAGAGAAGGGACACCAAGATGATCCAAGGCCTGGAGCACCTCTGCTATGAAGACAGGCTGAGAGAAGAGAAGGCTTTGGGGAGACCTTATAGCAATTGCTCTACAGCTTTTTCTTTTCTTTTTAATAGTGCCATTTCATAGAAAGAAAAAAAAAACACCACTGTATGACTGACTGAACATTTTGACAGTCAAAACTGAGTTATTATGTTAGTGGCCAGACTGCAATACTGCAAATTGTCCTTTAAGAGCTGTGCTACCAATCCCTGTGTGGTGGTGGTCTGTCAGCCCTTTGAAAACATCTATTGTTTGAATGAAATGAAGGCAATGAAAACATCGCCTTCACTATTTCACTCCAGTAACATATTCTCCATCTGCTTTAAGAAGACCTCCCAGCAGTTGCTATTTAGCTTATAAGAGAGTTAGAAGAAATCCTAGTAAAATAGGTCTACATCGGAGCAATGCAAATTCAACATCCAAACCTGGAACAGAAAAAAAACATATTGGCAGTTTTATCAGAGCAGACACAGGGCAAATTAACCTGTGCACAGAACACGAACAGCAGGGCTAGACAGGTCTTCAGGAATATTATGGAGCCAAAGATAAACCTAAATAAAGAACAGGAAATGCAAACAGAAACATAATCTACCATTATCTAATAAAGAAGCTTTGTTTTGTAGATATAAATGCACTACCATCGTTCTTTTTATCACTGTTTTAAAAACACCACCAAGAATTCAAACTATATAAAATATACACTAAACATAACCAGCTACAACACTGAAATTTTGGCATATGTTAGTTGTGTTTTCCAAAGCATAAACTTGTGTATCTTGCTAGGTAATGCCACAAAATGCACCTGCCCTGTGCAGGTGTTGCTGTCCTTTAGGACATAAACCAGCTAGGCAAGATGTTAAAATCTTCTGTAAAATAAAGGTACTGGAGACAAATATGTGTTCCTGCAATTATCCAGGCAGTTTATTACAAAATAGTCTGCAACACAGAGAAGCAAAAAACAGTTCTTCAGAAGCAACTCACTAAAACAAGAAAGTACATCTGTTCATAAAGAACATAGTTTAATGATGCCTTCATCAAGAAGATGGGAATTACAGAACAAAACAAAGGCAATTACTTCAAATAGCCTGTGAATTTACAGGCAAACTCAAACAAGATAATATTAACCAAACCGCCTGCTCTTTCCACGTCCTTGTGTCATATCTGACAAACAAACATGGAGAACTTCTGAGTGACGTAGCTTTCGGTCCACCCTACCAAAATAAACTACAGAGGAAAGTAATCTAAAGACACAGCATTTACTTCCAAACATGGAAAATTAGGAGATAAACTTCAATCAGTTAGTCCAGGATAGCTTTGAAATCTTGACAAAGAGATGGTTCTGTCACTGTCTTCAGTAGTGTCATAGTATCCTTTGGGATCTTCCTGAACAGCTGCATCTTACCTGCCAAAATAACAGAAACAACTCATTACTACTGCAAGTAACTAACAATTCTGAAAATGCTAATAAGATAATGAAAGCAATACTAGCTAAATCCAATTCAAATTTGGAACAGCTAGAAAATGGAGATTAAAAAAGCTATAATAAAATACGCTACCATTCTTGAACCCTTAAATCAGGCAAACAAATAAAAAGGTTAAAAATCTTATGCTAAAATATTAACAAACAAAGAAGACCAAGGAACAATTTTCTCCTACTATGTCTAGAATCCAAAAATGTAGTTATTTGGATTTTAGGATTTTAACTTTTTTTTTTTTTTAAAGTATAAACCCATTTACTCAATAACTATATCCACCAAAGAAGGCCTTCTCTCAAACCATAGTTACTTAGAAAGACCCTGTTTTAAACAATGTTAAGGACAAGGGACATGTCCTCATCTGGTTGCTAACATTTACCTACAGCAGGAAGGTATTCCCAAACTATTTCTTTTTCCCCTCTGTTTTCAGATAGGACATCAAAACAGCCTATGCTTGAAACTGACATATTAGAAAGACAGAAAAAAAAATAAATTCACATGGAAAATCCACCTTTTGCTATAACACTAGCAACTGCAATTCTTCCTGCTGTGTTGCTTTGTAAGAGAAGAGATTTTAACTGAAAGACCACCCTTAAGCTGGAAAATTCTAAAGACTAAACAAGGCTCTTAAATCAGGAATGAAAGTTTTATTATGAGGACATAACAGTTTTGAAACACAGAAGGCCATTGAGTTTATCATCAACAGCATTATAGACAATAATAAGGACTTTTTCAATATAGGAAGAACATGTAAAACCCTAGCAACAGCTTAAGTCCGTTACCTAAACAGAGTTGGCAAAATTGTCAATGGTGCAGAAAGGCAGAAGTGCTCAGTAAACATTTGTTCTCTATTTGCAAAGGAGACAGATGATGTATTTACATCTTATCATGATAAGGAAAGACTCTTGCTCCTTTTCCCACTGGTAATAATAGCAGGGATGTTAAACAGTAACTATGTTCTAAATACTCAACTCTTGAAGAATGACGACAACTCGTACTGACAAGCCTCAGATGTTGATATTTAACAAGTTTTGGAATAGTGGGAAGAACCTCCTTCCCATAACCTAAGAGCTTGACACTGATTACCCTGAAGAATAATGGAAAGACATGCGCAGGGACACAAGAAAAAAGATTAAGTTTATATCCACTCCTGTCAATAAAATGATCTTACAGGGGTAATAGTTTTTATACAGCCAATACCAACTCCAAGATCACAACAAAAAGTGTAGCTGTTAAGTCAACACCAGTGCTATCACCAGCCCTGGTTATACCTCTTTGCTACAGATCGCTGTGCCATACAGAGACACTGAGCTAACCTTACAGAAACACACCTGAGAACCTGAGAAACTTGAAAAGTTCCACGTCTATTTTCTAGCCTGTTTTCTCTGGTATTTATGGTGGTGTGATTTTTTGGACAGTACAGACTACTTTTATGGCAGATGCACACTCATCGAAGACGAGATTCTGCTGATCACTAAAGCCACCTGGGGCTGCCCCTCCACCCTGCATGTCACCATCAGATTCAATAGCAAAGCATGCACAGAGAAGGATCAGGGAGCCCTCAGAGAAGCTATTGTCCTACTGGGTGTGCCTACAACATTCTCTGCTCAGTTGTTCAGTTTCTGTCCTCTCCAAGTGAAGCAAGGACCCATCTCTTCCCTTCCCAGAGGCAGGCTTGCTCTCCCCAGTGCTTCCAGAAGGGCTGAACAGAACTGGCAGCAGCAGTGGTCAGACATGGTGCCTCTGGTTTTGGCATCAGTGAGTAACTCAGAGAAGGAGCTTCTCTGGGAGAGGCTGCTGGAGTTCTGCTCCAAACAGAAAGCTCATAGCTGTCAGGAACACGCCTGGTGCAGTCCCAACCATCAGTTTGTTCCATGTAAATGTCTAAGACTCTCCTCTGATACATTCACAATGCATCACCAAAAATCAGATGGTTTGCACTCAGGCATTGCTGCAAGCCTTTCACCTGGGAAGGAAATGCTTACTTCCAAAAGCATTGGAACTGTATTTTTGAGGTTCTGGGTCCCAGCACAGGTATCAAGGGAAGCTTGTGATACATTTCAAATCAAACAGGGGTTATTCTGGAATCCGAGTGAAGAATTTCTCAGTATTGTATATGAAACTGCCCAAGTAATGACTCATTCAGAGTGCAAATTACAGAATCAATGTTGAGTCTGGCCTTCACTGCAGCTAAATTCAACAACAGTGCTGACCACTTCAGAAAAATCTACTGCTGTTGACTTTTAATATCTGAGATCTGAAAATTCTATTATTTCTGTGGCTGGCCTGGGGATAGACCACACAACCAGTCAAAGAGAGAGCTCCCCAGAAGCCAGGTACACAGGCAGCTCCTTTCCCTGAGTATTAGAGCCAGAGATTTGCCATTACCGCTCAACTCCATTACAATATAGTACATGAGGAGCAGTAAGTGCTTCTGTTCCAAAGCGAACCTGGTGACACTTTTTTTCTAAGAGTTTACATTGCAGGAGGAATTTATTTAGTTGTCAGTTACTCTACGTTTTTTAAAACAGAAAAGCAAGCATTAATATTTCATTTAGTTAAACCTGTTGAGAATGCTTATATGATTAACCCAATCTTACTACACTTTTTGAACTGTACGAACTTACTGAGTTCCAAGTATCAACAACTGTCCCATAAGAATACGTGCTGAAAAACATGTCATTTTAATTTGCCTCCTTATTCTTTGTAAACTTCATTAAAATTAGAAAGCTCATGAATGTACATTTTAGAACAACATTTTGTTATAAGTTAAAAATCCACAAGATTCTGAGTTTTATTTCAATTCATCATATTTCAAACTGTAAAAATAATTGAATACTTACAGATTTTTAGGGGCGTTAGCAGGCATTTGTAAACAACTTTGTGATTTGCCAGTTTGACAATAAAGGCATGGTAGCAGAGCCATTCTGCTGCCTCAGAAGGGAACAGGCCAGATGCACCTTTGTTACCTAAAGCAACCCCTGGAGACAAAACAGGAAAATAATATCACTGAACATTACAAAGTGTAAGATCTTTCTTCTCTTCCTATAAAATTACTCAAGATTTTTTACTATAAACCTATGTAGTCAATGAAGTCTCCCACAACAGCAGAGAACTAAAAACCAAAAATGTGAAATCTTTCAGTATCTACAGAAACA